GAGGCCATCACTTGTAGGTTGAAGGCCATCGCTATTAGGTTGGAGGTTGTTGAAATTCACCTCATCCCTATGGACCCCGTAGCGTGTACTCTCAAGGGTAGAGTAAAAGATGCTTAACGGCTAGACAGGGTTAGTTAGGAAATCCGAGCTGATCCTGTAAAATACAGGTTATCAGCCGTAGGCTACCTAGATTAGAGCTATGGACCCGATGGATGACGACGTCGCACCGAACTCGTACGGAAGTGGCTTTGACATTGTTCCGAGTATACCCAATAGTTTGGACGCAGTTCAACAACATGAACAAGCAGTTGCACAGGTGGCAGCAATGGATCCAAGGGTAGCTTCGGAGGTGTACCAAGAAATGCTAAGCAGTGGTGGTAGTGTTACGCTTCAAGAGGCGACACGAGCTACCCTAGCAGGTATGCCGTCATCCACCGTAGCTGGTGCGCCAACAGTAAATAACTTGTTGGCAATGACTAGGTTCAACGTCGTCAACCTGAACGCTACATCAGGTGATGAAGAACTACGACGGGAGCTACAGCAACATGAGTTGTTGCTCAGCGAACAAGCTAGGCGTGAAGCTGAACTCGAAGCATTGCGTTTTAGGCATATCTATGAGAGGGAAGCTTTTGAATCGATAGCAGCAACAAAAGCCGCAGCAGAGCAAGCAATGCTGAATTTGCAACAGAGGGCCCAACAGCAAGAACATAATGTTCAGCAGTTGGCTCAGCATCATGACAACGTTGCAATCAAAAGGTTGCAAGGCACGTTGGAGGAGCAACGAGAGCATTTTCAGCAGCGATTAGCTCAGGCAACAACGGCTCATGAGAAGGTTTTACAAGAAAAGAATGCCTTGGCAGAGGAAGGCAATGCTTTTGTCGACAGGATGAGAACTGAACACTGACAGTATACAGAGCAGCAAGAAGCAAGGCTAAAGGCAGCTTTGGAGGCAACAGACAAAGCTCGATCTACATCTGCTGAAGAAGCCCGTGTTGCTATAGACCTTGACTTCAAGCGAGAGGAACTGTCCAGTTCATTGGCAATCGCACAGGCAAAGATCAAAACACTCCTCGGGGAAATGGAGTCGACTAAGTCACAACATGCAGTTGACCGGGAATCCCAAGAACAAACAATTATTGAACTCCGCAAGGATAATGCTTTGTTGAAGGGTGAGATGGATGAACTCAGACGTGTTGTACAGGCCTTATCGGACAAGGAAGAGGAGCGCAAGGAAATCGAGCGCAAGGCTCACGCCGCTAGCCCAGCTAAACCAGGGCCGCAGCAACCAGAGCAACCTCCGCCTCCTTCAACCAAGTGTTCATCCCGCTGGTCAACCTCGTTCATTCGAACCTCTTCGTACGGAAGGCACAGTGCCTGCAACCCTAGAAGGTTCGCCCTCAGACCCAACTGGAATTCCTCTGAAGACAGCTACGGATACTTCAGCAACAAGTCGAAACACAGGATTTCCTTCAATGTTGTCTGGGACAGGGGCGCAAGCAGCGGAAAAGGCCACTGCCTCCACCGACAGGCAACAGTTCAAACAACCGGATCCGTGGATGGATTACAAGGCGAAGTCGGCGCAGTACAACTTCAGCGATGACCCATTGTACAAAAGCTCCTTTAACCAGGATGCAACATACAAAAGGGATGATCGCAAAGATGAAGGGCCGGCATCTCAGGTAAGAACTCCACAAGATCAAGATTTGGGGGAAATAATCAAGAGAGCCTTGCTAGAGGGGTTTAAGGGCGCGAAGAACAAAGACTTGGACAAACCCAAGGCAAAAGAGGCTGATAAGATAGATCTCCCCGAATTCCCGAGTCCTGACAGGTACCGCACTTGGAGGGCCGCTGTTCGCGAAGCGATACGGTCCGCGTCCGACGACCCAGATGCTGCGTTTGCATGGGTGCTTGAGGTATATGCCGTTCGGGAGGGCAAAGCAAAGCTTTGTTCCGAGCTGGCGGACCCAGGCAAGTTTCGGACCTTAGATACGAAACTCCTCGCTGCTTTGACTAAGGTTGCCAAAGGTGAACTGTCTCAGCAAATCCTTAATTATAAGGAATCTGAGGCACAGCAGGGTAGGATCGTTCGTGGTCGTCAGGTTTTGCTCATGTTTGAAGTCCACTTCAAGACCAGTGAAGAAGCGGGTGCACTGTATGGTACGGAAGACCTCCTGAAAATCTCGCTTGACAGCGACGACCTGAAATCCTTTCTAAGGAAATGGGAAAGTGTGTTGACCGGAATGAGTCATGTTCCTGATCCGGCAACCCTCAAAGACTTGTTCTATAGAGAGGTCAGGAAGTCCCGTAAGCTCAGATTTGACCTTGATGTTTACGAACGGACAGCGGAAGGAAGTAGCGACAGAAGTTATGAATTCCTCATTAATTCTGTTCGACGGTATCTTGATCGAGAAAGGCTAAGGACAAATCGAGAAAAGATCTCACAATCGCATGCTGCAAAGTATGCAAACCCGGCGCCACATGACAAGCGTACGCGAAGTCCAAGTTATGGCAAGAGGAGCACAAAGGGTGACGGAAGCAACCAATGCTATGAGTTCGCCAAGACCGGCAAGTGTAAGTACGGAAGCAAATGCAAGTACTCTCACGACTCTAGCGCACGTCCCCGCTCCCTTAGCCGGGAGTCGCAGTCGTCACGATCGCGAAGCGCAAGTTCAAGTGGTCGATCCTCGTTCAGGTCAAGCCGTTCGAGAAGCTCGTCAAGACCATCCTCCCGCAATAGTTCAAGGAACCCATCAAGAAGCTCAAGTAGAGGCAGAAAATCTGAGAAGCCAGCAGGTTCTTTGCAAAGGGCAACTGCAAAAGGGGTGAAAAGTGTCCATTTAAAAATTAAACATGGTGAAACCGCGGCGCCTGCCCCGCGCAGAAGAAGCCCGTCTCCCGCGGCTAAAAGGTCTAAAGACAAGAAGTCAAAGAAGAACAAAAAGGACAAGAAGAGCAAACGGGAAAAGAAAGACAAAAGTCCAAAGGCCAGTCCATGCATTCAAACAGGTTTCGCGATGTCTTGCTTAGCAGCAACCGCTACTCGGACCCGTAAGAGCAAAGACTACTGGGAATTCTCCAAAGATGGCACCGAGTTAATAAGGCACCATTTAAAGCCTAGGCACAGGTCATTTCTCCCAACACGTAAATCCTGTCCAGTGGAGTCATCAAGGTTGGAAAACCAGTTCACCATGGTAGTCAGTGACTCGAAGGGAAAGAGTAGGACTTTGAAGGGTGATTGGAAGAAACACCCAAACGCGAAACAAGGGTTTGATTGGACTGGGAAGTCAATTTTCCGTGTTGCGCAAGAGAAGAGAATTCGTTTCGAATTCAAGCCTGAGGTACACACCTTTCCTGTTTGGAAGGAAATGTACCGGCATGTAGTGAATAAGAGCAAAAAGCGGAACCTGTTCCGGACCACTGAGGAATGTCCAAAGTCCCGCGAGTGTGACACTAAGGACGCCATTTTGGCAGCGGAATCACTTAGGCAGATGCTCAATTCGATGGATACCGAGGAGCCTGCGTGTGATTTCCTTTGTGACCATTCCCCAGAAGGCCCCGATGATTTGTGCTGCACAAAGTGTAGGACGGTCACCGGTGAACAGGTACCCTCATGTGCTCGCTTAACAGCGATGCCTAGCACAGTTGGAATGGAGAAGTGGCTGGGCGATACCGGAACTGACCAAGACATCGTAGGCAAGGACTCAAAGACAGTCAGCCGGGCCACTAAGATCTTCAAGTCCAATGAGCCAATATCCCTCACTACTGCTAACGGACCAATCACTGCTGAAGACGTAGTTGAGGTGATACTCCCGGGGCTATGTGAATCCTTCAACCCCTACATCCTGCAAAGCACTCCCTCTGCACTCTCGATCGGTTTGAGGTGCTTAGAACAGGGATATGATTTTGTTTGGGGAAAGGACACTACTCCCATATTTCTTCGACCTGATGGACAATGTGTCAAATTCAAATTGCAAGGTAGGGTTCCATACATTGATGAGACGTGCACTCCATTCTCAATCCCTGAGTCGCTGAGGACACGAGTTACTAAGGTACTCGACTCCATCCACCAGTTCACCATCGATCAGGGCTTTGCCATGGCCAGCCACGAGTCCGAACCTGAGGATGAACAAGAGGACGAGGACGAGGCTGGCGTAGCTGCCAATGCCGATGAGGAACAGGAGGATGAAGAGGAAAGCGACCCAGAGGTTGAAGTCCCTTTCGATTTCGAAGATGTTCCCGTAGCAGGGGAAAAGACCGAAGAACAATTACGAAACGATGCCAAATCAGGGGCGCACCAGTTCACTCATCGACCAAAGAATCCCTACTGCAACATTTGTAGCGAAGCAAAAATGCTTGCACCCTACGGTACCAGCAGGCTCCGAGTCCCAAGTTACACAGGCATCGTGAGTTAGTAAGGATGATGCCTTACTAACTCGAGAGTATCTAAAAACTCGCTCTAGCATGCTCTAGCGCCTTAAAAACTCGAAGTTTCCCGCCCACCACGCTTATGGATTCCCGCGAGTGATCTTAAGGGATATTGGGGTATAGCACGCATGCATCTGGACACAGGAAAATCTAGATTATCTTCCAAGCGTGTTTGTTGATCTCCAGCAGTGTACCTCAGCACA